TGCTGAGGATGAGTTGGTGGTTGGGCTACTATATGATCTTAGAGGTCTTTTCCAATTTTAATCATTCTGTGATTCTATAATGTGCTCTGAGAGCTGGGCCCAGTTCACCAGCCAAATGTTGACTGCTGCGTTGACATTCAGACTGGCAAGTAGCCAAAAGGTAAAGGGAATGAGTTCCCACACTTTGAGCAAACATCCTCAGCCCCCAGATTTTGAACTATGAGGATGCCAGCACTTTAGAAGCTCAGCTGTAGAAGCAGACTCTAGAGATGGCTGTATGCTGTCGCTTCCACTCTTACTGAGCCTGTGCAGAAGGACAAATATGCCTGCCAACTACTTATACTTCTCCAGAAGGCTGCTTCAGCAGATCCTGACGCTGGGCTTACAGATGCCCTGACATCTTTAAATATCTTCTTTAGACTAAATATGAAAACAGACATCTCAAATGTGAACTACTGGCCTTTACAGTTTTGAATTATCTTGTACAAAAAACAAAAACAAAAACAAAAAACAACAACAAAAAAAACTTGTTAAATTCAGAAGCTGGCTTTAGGAATTTAACTTTCAGGAAAGTCTACAAGAAATGCCAAGGTCTATTTTACTCTGGATAGCAATATAGAATCTGCTTTGGTTTTAAAGTCTAGTAATCTACATCTTCTGCCATCAGGTGGCTCAGCATAGAGAGTGAGGGGTGGGACTGATTTCCTGCCCCACAGATCTATGAAGTTTTAAAAACTTTCTTCATCTCCAACAGGGATGGAAAATTAAAGTGTTTCCAGGAATCTGTCAAGATTTAAAAAAAAAAAAAAAAAAAAAAAAAAGGGCAGGTTATTTTGAAGTGCAGCATTTGATTTTGATTATTTCTGTATATTATGTGTTGGAATTAACCACTATCCACTGAGGAAAAAGCACTCCTTTCCCAATAAAAAAAAAAAAAAGCAACACCCCATCTCCCCACTACACAAAGCTCAAAAACAGTGCTTGTAAAATTAGCAGAAGTTTCTAAATACAGAAGTTGGATCAACTTTCAGACCACTTTCATTCACAAGACATGAGTTTCAGAGAAAAGTACAGGAATGTCTTGTCTAATCAAGTTTCTGTTTTGATAACCAGCATTTCCCAACTTAAAATGCTTTGCTGAAGATTTCTGAGCCATTTTAATTCTAAAAAGACCTAAATCAGGAGGAAGCACGAGACAATAAACTACTGAATTTTATTATTACTTGAGGATTCCTCTGTAAAATAAGTTACCACAAGCAGCTGCTCAGAGCCTGTGAAACTTCATTTCACTGAAAATAAAATGTTTTATGGAATTAGTTTTTATCCAAGAAATGGCATTAAAGAGATGGGCAGACCTTTTTTATTTTTATTTTATGGCCTAGAGTTTTGCCCAGCAGTCGATAAGCCCTTAAGATTGAAACTCACATTTTGCCTGGTTGAGAATTATCAGAGATGGAAAGTTCCTCTCTGAATCAAATAGAGCAGAACTTGAACTTGGAGCTCCCTAACCCAGACTGGTTCCCTTACTGATGGGGATTCAATACTCACATCTTTTGCCAAATTGCAGCATTTGAACAGAATTCTGTTTATACAAAACATTCAAAAAGTGTTAGTTTTCATTCCAGTGTGGAATTGAAACCAAACTCTGAAACCTCAGAGTTGCTGCAAAACACAGTTGTCCTTCAGTCAACTCAAAGGGCTGCTTTGTGTCTCAGGAGCTTGCAAAATAACTGGATCACAGGCCACCTTCTGGGCCCAGATTTTGTGACTGTATTTCTGAAGGTTTTTAAAGCACTAGACAATCTTGCAATCCATCAGTATTGATACCTCTAGCCTCAGTGCTGCTGGTATGGAATATATTTTTACCCTGCTGTGTGCCACTGACTGGTGGATGAATAGGCAGCAACTTCGGAAACTACACAAGCAGCAACAGCTTTGAAGTAATTCTTTCAGTAACAACTGTGTGCTTGTGCTGCCCTGTGCATTAGAGCATGGGTCTCAGTTTTGTTGACATTGTTTTATTCCTTGTTTCCAAAGTTCAGTGACACTGAAGTCGATCATAGACGAGTCCAACCTACAGAATTTACAGGCAACCAGTGTTGTGCCTTGAAGACTTGTGACTGACTGCAGTTTCTATTCTCCTTGGCACCTGACTCCTATTCCCTAAAGGTTTAGGTAGTGCTAAGGGTTGTACAGATGGCTTGTGCTCAATTTAAACCGCATACAGGAAGCTTTCTTTTAGCTAGACTTCTCTATTGTTATGCTATATTAATAGGTTCTTTTGAAGCTTGAGAAAGAACTGATCTGCCTGAATGATAGTTCTGGGTGGGGAAAGTTATTTAGGAGCATGTTGGCAAAATCTGAAAGGCTGTTTTATTTAACCATTTCCTTGCCTGTTGGTTCAGACAGGTTTTGCTCAGAACAGTGCCCAGAAAGAGGGAACTGCACTCACATTTTTGAAATTATGGGGTTTGAGTCATAGGTATTTATTTATAAGCAATGAGCATGTTTATTCTTAGATTCCTGCAGTCAAGCCAGAAAATGTGGGCTAGCCATAATGCAAACATGCAGATACACTCTTCATTTTGATCCTGCCCTGACTTGGTATGCAAATTCAACTCAGAAGTACCCCGAACTTGGCTTGTGCTGGAGGGGCTGATTTTGTTTTGCTCATATCAGAACTCAAAATCAGAGGAGGTTCCAGAAGTGCCTTGCTTGGGCTGACCCTCAGCACCACCAACTATTCACTGTTGCTGTTACCTTTAATCCTGCTGATGGGAAGCTTCGTCCTCTCCTTTTAAGTCCAGGGTTATACGTGGCCAGTCCTGATGCTCAGCTGTCTCTGTTTGGTGCTCATTCTTGCTCTTCCCAAGCCTTGAGTGGGACTTTTCAGCTTTTAATACAATAGAGAATGAGCATAACACCCTTCTCGTTCCCTAGGTGCAAGATATGTAGCCATGTGTTTTTTACCCCCTGCCTCCCTACTTCCTCCACAGGATGCTGCCAAAGTGGATGTGTCACTTTGCAGCAGTGGTGCAGGATGATGCTGTGCTCAGGGGAAGTGCTCGGCTTCTGCTTTGATTATTATTTTTTTCATTCTTTTTGAAGTGACATTTGCAACATCAACAGTTTCTATCTTCCCCTGCACCACTAGCAGAGTTTTCTCTTATGCAAGAAGAGGAAGAGCTAAAGAGTCTGTGAAGACTGGTAGAGACTTCTCAGCTGTTGGTCTGCACTCTCAGGCGTTGTGGGAATAGCCAGAGACCCTCAGTGTACCCATAGCAATAAAGGAATGGAGACCTGCGTGAACTGATTCTCAATTTGATCTGCACATGTACCCAACTACCTCAGTCTTCCTGATGTCTAATACATCTCTTTTTTTTTTTTTTCCCTCCCTTATTTAGAAAGATATCTGTAATTCAGATATCTGAGCTACTTACTGCAGCTCTTTGGCAAAGTAGAAGGCCTTAAAGTGATTTAAAACGTATGTTTATCTTTGTTAAAAAGTAGGACACATGATATAGGTTGCAGATGACATACAACTTAGTCTCAAGGTCAGAATCCAAACTTCAAGCATTCTTTTCTCTGGCCAAGGGGAGAGAAGAACAACAATACACACAAAAGCAGAACTCTAAATGTTCATCAGAAGGGCTTTATCTGATTTATAGAACTGTGGCTTTCTTGCAGCCGGAACTTGGAAGCAGAGCACAACTGTCAATCCTCTTCCAGATTCCAGAGTTTCCCTAGTGCTTTTAAAAGTAGATTTCCTGAGAGTGAAGAACTCATGTGAGAATAAGCAATGTAAATCTTCTGTTTACCGACAGTGACATTGGACTTTCTAAATATACTCCTCCAGTAAAGGCCATTTAAAAAGACATTGAGAGACAAAAGTGCTGCAAGTAATCTGTGATTATCATATGAGTGTAGACTTGGTACTAATATTCTGTTACCGTAGGAAATTGCTTGGGAATAAGGATTTCTGGTTTGCATAGGTGTGAAGGAGGGATTAGGTTTAAGAAGTTGATTTGCATGAATGAAATAAATGCATGTCTATGTAGGTGGAGCATGGTGCTGCTAATTAATGCCATTAACCTGTGCTAACTGGGAATGTTAGTGCTGGAAATGTTGGTGCTTCTCTTTCTTGAAATCCTGTGAGAGATGCTAGGATTGAGTTACTTACTCTACTGCTGATTGATGAACCTTTCAAACAGAGGAAGCACATCCTGGTTTGGGATTCAGACCTCCTTCCAAAAAAAGAACATACTCTTCAGATGTCCTGTCACCTGCCTTTGAATAGCTGAAGGCTCCTGCTGCTTGCCAGCTGTGTTTCCAATGTAAAAGGGATTATAAATGAAACTGAAGGGTCTGAGGTATCACTTATTCTAATTGTAAACTCTTTATCCCTATCCTTCTCAGCACTGCTCACCTTTATTTTGAGAAAGACTTGAAACTAACCTAGTTAGTGACAGTTTCTCCTCAGAGCTTGTTAGACTTTCTTTTTCTTATTGACTTATTTGGCTCTACACAGAGAACCTGAGCCAGTGACAATGTCATAAGCATCTGCCAATATTGTGCTGCCAGCGCTTGCTTAATTTTGGTTGCAGCGTCAGTTCTTTTAGTCCATTCATGATTCTCCATGCTTCTTTCAATCAACCCCATCCACTGCAGAATGATAATGCAGTACGTTTGAACTTGAAGGATCGCTTCTAGGGTTGTAAGGGCATCCCTCACCACTAGAATAAGTTCTTCACTGTTCCCACGATGTACCTTTATTCAAAAATTTGTCCCTGTTGTCCTTCTGTTCCCTATCCGTGTGTGTTTCACCTGAGAATATGTTCACATACAGGCTGCATCAGCTAAGGTGTCTGGAATGAGCTATCTGCTGTTTTCCAACAGAATAGCTGGTGTACAGCCAGCAAGTGACACGCACAGGATGTTTTCAGTTACATAAATCCATGCAAAAAGTGCACGGCGAGTGACAGTTCTCAGATATGCCATACATGCCTAATTGTGCCTGCAGGATTCAAACAGCTGTGCAAGTGCAGGTGTTGGAATCTGTTGTAGCAGTACTCTTTCTCATATATCAAAGTAAGAGAATGAGTTCTGTTTTTCAGATTTATACGCAGGCGTATATTTTGTGCTTGAATATTAGCAGGCAGTATTTGTATATGGACAGGCTTCCTGATGTCTTTCTATGGATCTTACTGAGATACATTGGGTCTGAAATGGTAATTGGACAATTCAGTATTCATATGCTACATTGTCTATTTACTTATCCTTTTTTTTTTCAAAGAAAGATGAATGTTTTGTTTTAATTACTGGTTAAAGGGGCAGATCTGTCAAGAATATATCACTGAAGTAAGCACAGGAGACTTTGGCTATTGTGTTCAGGAAAGAGAAGGTTTTGTCCATAATGTATTGAGAGCCTGAGAGAAAAACAAAGCTGTTAAATTAGGTTAGCTTCTTGCTCATTCTGGTCTGGCTCCCTGTAAAATAATCAAACAGGGAACTTCTGGTAAGTGAAGGCTTATATGAGATAAGGAAGTAGTGATCATTTTTTTTTTACTTTGTGTTAATGGAGGAAATCATGTATGGCACACTGGAAAAATGTTATAGGTTACTCACAACTTCCTGTACACATAAAGCTATGCTCATTTAATGTATTCCTTCCTTCTGTTCTTTTCAGATGATCCCCATAAGCCAGAGGAGAAAGATGAAATTTCCAAAGTCACAATCATAAGTCTTGTCCCCTTATTGGTGATTTCTGTTGCTGTGATTGTTATCTTTTACGCCTACCGCACTCATAAGAAGAGGAAGCTCAACAAGGCCTGGGAGAAGAATGTTAAGCCCAGGAAACATAAAGACTGCAGTGATGTTTGTGCCATTATGTTGGATGATGATCACTCAGACATCAGCTCTACCTGTGCCAACAACATCAACCACAACACAGAATTGCTGCCCATTGAGCTGGACATTGTTGTTGGCAAAGGAAGATTTGCTGAAGTGTATAAAGCCAAATTGAAGCAAAACACATCTGAGCAGTACGAAACTGTGGCAGTAAAGATCTTCCCCTATGAAGAATATGCCTCCTGGAAAACCGAGAAAGACATTTTTTCGGATGTAAACCTTAAGCATGAGAACATCCTCCAATTCTTGACCGCAGAGGAGCGTAAGACAGATCTTGGTAAACAGTATTGGTTGATCACTGCCTTCCATGCTAGAGGAAACTTGCAGGAGTACCTCACACGGCACATTATCAGCTGGGAAGACCTCTGGAAACTGGGAGGATCCTTGGCCCGAGGGATTGCCCATCTGCACAGTGATCACACACCCTGTGGTCGCCCTAAAACCCCTATTGTGCACAGAGACCTAAAGAGTTCCAACATCCTGGTGAAAAATGATTTAACTTGCTGTCTCTGTGACTTTGGGTTATCTCTGAGGCTGGACCCTTCTCTCTCTGTGGATGACTTGGCCAACAGCGGTCAGGTATGTTAAAAGTTTCAGGAGATGTGTTGTGTGTCATACCAGTTCATCTGTCAGTTCCTGGGGAGGAGGGGAAAAAAAAACCAAAAACCTGTGCTGCCATATTTGCTTAAAATCAACAAAAATGAAGGGCTGGTTTTTGTTTTTCTTCTTTTCAATGAACAAATAGGCTTTAAACCTCACACAAAAGCAATGAGGGAATTGTGATGAAGATTTTGTTCTGATCAAAGAGCAACGTAGTTATATGACACCATCTTCCTTTCTGTGCCCTTACAGCGAAACATGTAAAAGCTTGTCAGCTACTATTTGTCACACTGCTGCGATGTGCACACAAGATGGGGTGTGCTTCATATTTTGAAGTTAAGCCACAGTTTTCAGGCCTGTTAGCACTAGGTTTGTGTGAGTAAAACTACTGTGTCAGTATATCCCAGCATATGTGAATGCGGTCCTCTCTGTCCTCAGGACGTGTAGCAGACAACGGAGAGATAAATAATCACATTACAAGGCCAAAAATAAACCTGTTTAAGATTATGAGACTTTCTCCACATGCAAGCAAATGCAGTAATATCAGATGAAAATAACTGCCCCTTTTTGAACTAAGTAGTGTGAATAATGCTCATCTATTTCACAGGCGTGCCATGATGATATTTGTGAATGCTTCAGTTTTTCATATATCTCTAAATATTTTCTCTTCTGATGAAAACTCCTGTAGTGGAAGTTGAGACCTTTTCTTAAGTTATGTTCCTAGTTATGTACCACATATGATTAATTATATGTAAGTATCCAAAGCATGCTTGTTTACACTGACTTCTACTCAGCATGGAACTAGTATTTTGATTTAGGGACGTTTCAGGGACAACTCATCAGGCAGTAGTGTTTGTTGAGTTCATGAGAACTTTGCTGTTGTTTATCAAATTAAGATCTTTGTTGTAAGATCTTTGAAGTCTCATTAGTTTAAGGGAACTGCCCTGATCTCATTTTGATAGGGTTTCTTAACAAGAGTCAGGAGTGAATGATAACCAAGGAAGGCATATTTAAAATTACACAAACACCACTCATGGTCACATATCATTTCTCTTCAGCATGCCAAATCTTTTTGGAGTCCAGTGAAGTCGTACCATATTGACAGTTACAAGACTGGTTGGAGTACAGCAAAAGCAGAGTATTTGGCCGTGTATGTCATAGGCTGTGAAGTTTAACCCCACGGAGACTTTGCTTAAAGCCAACCCATATTTCAATCTGATTTCTCTGGCATTGCTCACACACAGTTGGAAGTAGGAGGATAGCATTAATACTGCCCTCCCACACTCCACACCAGCACTGACAGTGAAGTACAGCACTGCCTAGAAGATGTTGCTACTTTAGAATTGATGCCCTTGGGCACTCATGGCGAGACCCAGTGTTTTACTTTGTTTAGCTTCACTGAATCAGTTTTGGGATAACCAAATTAACATTATTCTTCTCCATGGCAAAGTGTAAGATGGTGTGAAGTGGCTCTGTAAACCTCAGCCTCATTTCTTCTGCGCATACAAGCACTACCCACTCAAATGTGTCAACATGACAACTTCAGTACCGTTCGTAGCTTTTGCCTAGGAGATTTTGCACAAGAATTTGCCATCATTTCTGATCTTTACACTTTCACCAAAACTCTTCCCATCAGGAGGTCCAGTTTTTGAAGGTATATAATGGAGCTGACACACATTTGAATTCAAGGAAGCTTCTGGTTTCCTGTGAAATGAATAGAAAAATCTAAGTATTTTACGTTTTTTTTCTGATCAGCCTTGGACTGCAATATTCAAGGCAAGTTGTTTGTATTACAAAACTGTCTTCTTTCCCATCCACACAACTACCTTCTGCATGATGCAGATGTTGCCATTATTGTCTGTATGATACCAGTGTTCTTTATGACTGACTGGAAACCATCTTTTCCCCAGACTTTGTGGTCTTTTCAGTTTAGCTATTTGGCCATCCACAATGGCTAACATTTGCAGACATTACTTAATCTGAATATGTAAATCTGGACCCGTGTCCTGTTGTGTTCAGAGGACTGCTATTTGCCAGCAAGGCCAGATGTTCCTCATCTTGGCAGCATCAGCAGCCTTATAACAACAGATGGTCGTCCTAATCACACAGAGAGGGATAGCCTCTGCCCCTCTGAGTGACACACCTCAAGGCACAAAACATCTCAGACAACTTGAAAGAAATGTAGGGTTTCCAGTATAAAAGTTCTAAAAGTCACAAACATTATAAAAAGTACTGCAGGAAGAAAAATGTTCCCTTGCTGGAAGTTTTGGAAGAGAAGAACAGAAAACGGACTGGTCTTTACAATGAGAAAGTGTCTGAAATATATTTGGGACCCAGACTCAAGTTTTGCAAGCTGTAGGAAAAGAATGTTTGACCCAAAGACCTCGTAATCTAAATTCAGATAAAAGAACAGAGGCAGAGTGCAATAGCTGATGAATTCTAAGCAGGATGGAAAGTGAGAAAACTTGATATCATTCTTAACATCATTTTCAATTTTCTCTGTGTTTTCAGTGGTTCTTCATAGCTCTAGAACATGAGCCTCAATTGTACAGCAAAGCTGCAGAATCTTTTTCACTGCTGCAAGGAGAGCATGAAATGTTGCAAAACTAGAACTGCTTTTGTTGACAATGTTGATTGTCTGTATTTAGGCAGCATTAACACTTAATGAAAAAAACAGCAGGATGGGGCTGGGCAATTTTGGGGCATAGTATGCCAGAATCTTTTCTAATACTTTGATGGACTCTGCTTTGGAGAGAAGCTGTATGTTTGGGAAGGGATGGGGCTAGGAACAGCCTCTGCTGCAGGGTTGCCATGTGTTCATGTTCAGTAGGGCAGGAAGGTACTGGTGAACTCAGTGCTGCTGGGACATGGTTATCCCAAGAACCTCTAATGTGTTGGTGTTGCTCATGTTTGGCCTTCATTTTCACAGATTCCGTACAACAGGGAATTTAACTTTTGGACTGATTTCACAGACTTTTTTTTGCTATTCTCTAAATAAAGGCCTTGGTACTACAGCCATTTGTATACCTTTAACAAATAAATTCTCTGATGTTGCACAGTCCTATGATAAAGCAATGTCCTTAGTCTGTACTGTTGTTAGGGAGCATTACACTTTTTGTAGCGCTGTGTCCCATTTGTACTGAGTATGGGATGATAAGGTGTGTTTCCAGAAGCATGCCAAACACATGTTGTAGGAGACTGCATTTACTATGTAGCTGCCTTCAGTTGCAGACCCAATAACCGAAATGTTCTTTTGTAGTTCTGCTTGCCACCAAGCTCTGGACTGATGGCTGTAGTTCACTCTACAAATAGCCCTTCTTAACCACAGATCCTACTGCATCACCCACTTCTGTTTTTTCCTCTTTTTTTGTGTGTGATTAAGCAGTCTCCCATCTGAAGCTGTCCTTGCCTGATCTGATTATTTTTGGACTTTTTCCGGATGAGGAGAGAAGGAGAGCAATTTTTTTATACATTTATTTTTTGAAATTTTTTGAAAAAAATTTAAATTTTGACATTGGATCTGCTCAGAGATCCAATAATTATTCCTTACATCTATTCATATGATAAGAACACTTAAACTTTGCCATCAGTAATGTAAGGTCGTAATCTAGACTGCAGCACAGCTGCTAAAATCACTGCTGAAAATTACTGAATATGCATAAACTTTATGGGAACAACTTTTCAAATGAAGAGGGGCCAGTTTTTGGTTTCACTTTGAATGTGTGCTTATGCATTCAGTACGTCTTCATCAGCTTTCTTGTGCCAAGCCTGCATTTACCTCTCTCATTTTAAGACCACTTTGAAAAGAAACAGTTCTCTCTATAATATGCAGTGCAAAAGAATACAGTGATTTTCTTGCTCGTCTGAAAATCACTTGGTCAGTGGCAATTGCTCCAGGCCCAGAGGACAGAGTTTATCTCAATGAACAGCCAAAGAGTGAGAAAGTTTGTCAGCATTAAAAACAGTTGTTTAAGGAACTACAGAAGGCTGCTGTTCTTCTTGCTTGTTTGTTTCTTTGCTTTATCATTTTTTCTTTACCAAGGGAGGTGCAAGTACAGTCGGTAGTCAAGACAATGCCAGATTCTTTTGGCAGCAGAAAGCATGATCCGTGCCAAGTATGGCTTGCATTTTTGGATATGTGTCAAATGGCACCATTTCTATGAAAGCTGAAGTCAGATCACAGCAGAATCCAAAACATGAATTACAGTTGCAGCTCATGAGCTCTCCCATATTTCCTCTCCTGCAGGTTGGCACAGCAAGGTACATGGCCCCTGAGGTCCTGGAGTCCAGGATGAACCTTGAGAACATGGAGTCCTTTAAACAAACAGATGTGTACTCCATGGCTTTGGTCCTTTGGGAAATGACATCTCGCTGCAATGGTGTTGGAGGTAAGCACCATCGCTTTTCTTATCTCTAAAGGTATGTTTGGATAGAAGTGCTCTTGTGGTTGTCTGTGTGTACAGACAATTCTTTGTTGTTCTCGTGGGCCTGGCTGCTGTAAGCTAACAGGCCTTCAGTAATATAAGATGCACGTGTGTATGAGCAAGCTTCAAGGGCAAGCTCCTGAAAGCATGAGGAAATTGCTCCCTGTTGCTGTAAGGATAAATTGCTGCTAGGTAAGCCTCTTCTGAAGGTTGTTAATGCCTGTTATTTTTTTAAACTACAGCATCTTGAGTAGCCGTGGATTGACTGGTCTGCCTGTCCTCTCCCAAAATAATTATTAATATAAGAATATTTGAAACACTTGGACCTGATGATCTTAGATGTCTTTTTCAACCTAAATGATTCATGAAATATTAAGACCAAGAAGTGATAACTGTCCCCCTTTTGCCTTCATGGAATGTTAACTCTGAAACCTAATGAGGGCCAGTTAAGTGTCACATTTACTAATTATCATTTCAATAAGAGCCGTCATAGGGGTTCAAAAATCTTTCTGCTTTTGTGAAATCCACAACTGCCACTCATCATTTTTTGGGATGTTGCAAGAGATCATCCACAGGAGAAACCAAGGGATGTTCATTGTATAAAGTGCAGTAACAAAAATAAGCGTAACTGAGTATCAAAATAGCTCCAAGAAGAGCTACTGTGTTTGTTCATATTCAGACTTCGTTCACCGAAACAAAATCTCCATTTCTACTTTGCCTAAAGCTGGCCCAAAATTCCCAGTTTGCTAGGCTAGTATGTGCTAGAAATCTGAAAAGTTGCTGTTGAAATTCTGCATTATATATTGCCATATTTGAAGATTTTCACCTTAACTTCAGGAACTAAAATGAGACTGTTACATATAAATTTTTTCAGTCTGCTTGTATTGTCTAGCAACCATTTTAACAAAAGTCCAGGCAGTCTAGGAAGCAGGGCTGTTGCATGTAAGACTAATGTGAATATTACAGCAGATATGTGACTATTTGTATTTGTTACCTCTCTTCCAAAACCACATAGGTTCTCTTTTCATTGGACTTGCCACAGTTGAGTCTCAAAGGGCTGCAACAGAGACAGAACAGTCTGTAGAGCACTGCAGTATGGGGAACGTAGTGTACAGGAGAGAAACCAGTGTCCTATTGGAAAATGAATATAGCTGCTCCTTGTTTCTCTGCTAACATCTGTGGGATACCACAAGGCTGACTATCCGTGGAGGTCTCTGAGGCCACTCTGCGCAGTAGCAGTTTGGCATCACCATGTTTGTGTGCAAGAGATAGAAATGCCTGCATCCCAGTGTCTTGCTCTGTCTGACCAGCATTTGGTCTTTGTGGGTGGGCTGCACTGTGGGCAGTTTTGCCCCTGTTTGCGCCCTGCTGGGAAAGCAGGGTGTGCAAATAGCTAGTGCTAGCAGAAATGCGTGAAACCTTTTTTTTTTTAGTCAAATGTTTCAGGGAAAAAACATGTGGTGCTCCAAAAGCTGAAAGTTTTTGAAGTCTAGCATATTCCATGGCAAACCTATCCACATTTAACAGTTGGTGGCTATGTATGTTTCTAAATGCGTTGGCAAAACCTCAGCCTTTCATTAGCACTTTGTAAGTGCAGCTGAGAAGATTTAAAACCTGAGAAAAAGGATCTCTGCTCTGTCTCAAGCTCTCTCTGTTTCTTGCATTTAGGAACTCACCTTATTAATACAAATATGAGCTGTTCACTGTGGAGTCTTTTATCTTCACTGGTGCCTGAATGTGTTGCTGTTCATATTTGCTGAGTACAGTGAAATGGAGTTTGTGGCAAGAACAAACCTTGTTGCTGCTGTTCTCAGATGGCAACTGCCTAAAAGAGGATATAAAGAGTTTCATAAGGAAGGGAAATCACCAGCGTGTTTAGCCAGAAGAGGTTGACCCCTTATAACCATGAGAAGAAGAGCTGAAATGATTTTAGGAAAAGGAGGCGTTTCTCTGGCCCAGCATCCCCTTTGTTTTCATGCTGGAGCTTAGCCCCTGCCTCTGATTTTCCCTAATTCTCAGTCATCCTCATCTCCAGAAACATACTTCTTAAATTTTGTTTCCATGCTTCAGTCATCTTTCCAGGTGGTTCACTCCCCAGTGAAACCACCGAAGTATTTGGGCTGTAGTGGGTAGGACTTGGGCTGAGTGTCTTCAACCAGAGCAGCTAAATATAACTCCTACGATGCAGCTCCCTTATTTTGTTGGTGGTACTGAACTACAGCAGCATTGCATGGTTTCTCTCATTTCCCTCTTTGATCTTGTCTTGGTTCGTGCAGTCTGACTCTCTTTGCAATCAGCTGGTGAAGTACCCTTACAGTGATTCATGACTGCAGCTCCCTCTCTGCTTTCTCTTCCCATCTGTCACTGGTGAGACTCCCTTCCCTTCTTGCACCCTTCAGAGGAGCTGCCTCCGTTCATGCAAACCACTCCATTTCCTGACCTCGTAGGTGCTGAGAGAAATGACTTTGCATGTAAGCCAGGGCAGACTTACCTAATTGCAGCCTTTCCAAAGAAACCTAAAAGATGTAAGTGCTGTCTCCCCAGTGCAGGCCTCTCTGCAGTGTGGGCTCTCTCACACTAGAGAAGGACCAGGGAAGTTCAGAGAGCAGCCTGATGCTGGGGGAAAGCACGGGAAAGAAGGGGTTAATTGCTATGCTAACGGTAGGGTGAGTTATTTCTTTTACATAGGGTGTTCTCAGGATTTGTCTGTTGGTGTGCAGGTGTTTGGTGAGTGTGGGAGGCGATGGAGGCAGGTCCTTTCACTGCAGCAGCTTTGTCGAGCATAGCCTCAGCAGAATGCCAGGCCTTTTCAGTCAGCAGACATTTAAACGAAAATACCCAGCAGCATAATCTGTACTGTGAAGCTGCCATAGTAAATATGCAGGTGGGGATCAGCTTTCGAGAAAGGCCATGCTGTTCATTGTTACTTTGTTCTGCTAAATATGAAGAAGCAGAAATGGGGCACAGGGGAGAGGGAGACAGAGGCAAATAGCGAGTTTGACTGGTTTTTCACCGGAGTATAATTTAAGAGGCATATTTAGAAACTCAGCAATACTACTTTGGGGAGAACTTCAGCTGCTCCACACTGCCGTTAACTTGGTATTTCATTCAGTGCAACAGCTGTGCACCAGATGCTGCACGTTGTGAGAAATACAATTTTCATCTCAACCGCTTGCTTTCAGAGCGACAGAGCTTTGGTGACTGAGGCAAGTGTAATTTCTCCGACAGCCTCCTAGAAAGAAAAGGAAACCATCTGCTTCGTATCGGAGCTGCTGCAGGCAGGGGACTGCTGGGGGCAGCAAGGGAGAAGGAGAGGAACAAAGCCTCAGTTTGCACAGGGCTGGTGAGGAAGGAGAGAAACTCCTCAGAAAATGGCGACGTTGCTTGTACGGTGTTGCAGTGCCTGAAGGGGCGGCTGGCTTTGGTGTAGCAGCAGAGCTGTGTCTGAAATAGCAGCCTTGTTTTACCAGAGCTCTGTTTAATGTGAATAAAAGAGCTGGTTAATCTTATGCTCGCTTGGAAAGAGTCAGCCAAGAGGTACAGTTTGGCAGCTAAGCATTTGTGCATCTTGTGCTTCAGGGAACGCTGGGCATTCATCACATTGAGTGTACAGAGGTGACAGTTTCTGGCAGCAGGGAATATTTTGATAGCCTGTGCAGTGGGGCTGTGCCTGTGCGTTAGGTCTGTGCTTGTGCATCAGGCCTGAGGTCTCTGCAGCAGGGGCCTGGTTTAAGCCTCTCCTTTGTGAAGAGAAGTCCCAGTGCGGCACGTTTGCACTGCAGTGGCATGTGGTGGCATGCATCCCACATCTGGTACACCCACAAAGTGCACCATCACCACTATTGTGGAGCAGTAGCTTGGATCCCAGAAATTCTCTATGTGTCACCACAGTATTCAGTGCTGTCTTTCAGCAAGCCCAGGTAGCAGTAGGTAAGATCACCCCGCAGGGCACTCTTATGCTGTATTCCTCTACTTTCCCATCTCAGGGTCTAGCATACAATGACTAAACAGCCTATAATCATACTCTTATGGCAGAGCTTATACACTCCCAGCCCTTTGGAAAGGTGACTGTGTCTTTGATCATCAGATGTGAAATCACTTAAAACATGTCTGTGCAAGGAAAACGGCACTGTAGGTTCATTCATCCCAGGGCATCCTCAGACTTCCCAGCTAGCATTCATATTCTGAAGGAGTGGATCTGGGAAACCCAGGGAAAATGTGGCGTAAGCATCTAACAACTCCTTAAACTTGAAATTGAAATGGCTTTGAGCTTCTGCGTAGTCCCTTTGTGCAACAGTATGTAGACCCACCACCCAGATTCTTCTAGCATGAGGAAAGACACAATCTGCACGCACATGCAGATGTGTGTGTGTATGTAAGCTATCACAGTAACTGCATCATCAACTGATTTATCCCCTCTGCGGCTCTTCCCTCCTATGCTCTAAATTAAGGGTTTTTTTTTTCAAAAGGATCAGAAGTTCCAAAAACATAAGATCACTGCTATGGATTGTGCTCCACAGCTGATTTTCGCTAGCCTTCTTCCTCCTCACTCCTGGTTTAATTCTTCAAGTAAGCCTTCATCTTATGCATTAGGAAATGTCCCACTAAAAACAGAGCAAGACATATCACATGGGGGAAGTGTTGATGGGGTTTGCAGGTGTGCAGTTCTCACTTAAAGGAAGAAAATCTCACTGCAAACAGCTTAGAGCATAAGATCGCATGCAAGAGGCATATTTTTCATGAGGAGTCCGCTGCCAAATGTTCTATAGCATTCATCAAGCACAAATAGATTTTCAGTAATGTCTCCAGGGCTAAAAATCCAGTCCCAGCCTTTCTGAAAGTTATAGCCATGCTGGTGTCAAAGGGAAGCAGAGGTACAGTGATTATTAGTGCAAGGTAGCTCACAACCATTAAGATTAAATGCAAGAGGTTAAAGTTGAAGAAACTCTTCCATTATTGAATACTAAAAGTGCTGTGGTTCAAAATACCTAAGATATTTATGGTACTTCAGCTAGTTGTCATTTTTAGTGTCTGACTGGTCTGAAAACAATCAGAAGAAACATTTAAGTCATAAAAAATAGATTCAGCGTCTGTATATAGCTGTGCACGAGTATGTAGCAACAAGCATCTTAACCTGCCTCAAATTGACACCTATTACGTCTACTGTAGCATGCCAACATGATCCATGAATAACCTCAGCTATTACTCCAAAATGTGTCTGACACCTGAGATTCCACACTATATGGATGATTTACCGCAGGAGGATTCAGTTGGCTTTTCTTTTTGAAGGAGGGAGAAGCAAGATAATAAATAGCGAGAAGATGCTGCATGCTTTTCAGAGTGAGGAAAAGCACAACTGTGTTACTATGAAGTCATTACAGAGAACTAGCATCTGGCCTCAATTTCTCCTCAACAAAATCGCAAATCTGAAAAAAAAAATGCAGCATAGAAGGAATTTCTTGAACAGGGGAAATGTATTAGAAACCTATCAGTTCTCCAGGAAGGCTTTCCCTTTCACCAAGTAGAGGCAATCCCAAGCACAAATACAGGAAAGAATGGCTTGAGAGCAGCCCTGAGGAGAAGGATTTGGAAGCGTCAGTTGATGGAAGACTCAACATGAGCTGGCAATGTCCACTTGCAGCCCAGAAGGCCAACCGTATCCTGGGTTGCATCAAGAGAAGTGAGACCAGCAGGTCGAGGGAGGTGATTCTGCCCCTCTGTTCTGCTCTTGTGAGACCCCATCTGAAGCATACAGTTATGGGGCCCCCAACACAAGAAGGACATGGAGCTGTTAGAGTGGATCCAGAAGAGGGCCAAGAAGATGAGCAGAGGGCTGGTGCACCTCTCCTATGAGGACAGGCTGAGAGAGCTGGGGCTCTTCAGTCTGGGGAAGAGAAGGCTCCAGTGGACCTTGCAGTGGCCTGCCAGTACCTGGAGGGGGCCTACAGGAAAGCTGGGGAGGGACTTTTTATAAGAGTATGTAGTGACCGAGGGAGGGGAAATAGCTTTAAACTGGAAGAGAGTAGATTTATACTAGATATTGGGAAAAATTCTTTACTGTGAGGAACAGCCTGCCCAGAGAGGTTGTGGATGCCCCTTCCCTGGAGGCGTTCAAGGCAAGGCTGATGGGGCTTTGAGCAGCCTGATCTAGAGGGGGATGTACCTGCTTATAGTAGGGCTGTTGGAACTGCATGATCTTAAAGGTCCCTTCCAACCTAAACCATTCCATGATTCTGTGATTCCATGATTCTTTGATTATATGATTCTACGAAATGAACAGTCTTGTAAACCTCAACGGCCTTCAGATTAAGTTCAGTGAGAGGGAACAGGCAGCACTGGAGAGCTTCCCTTGATTTGTCACTCACATTCCTTTGAGGCAAACACAGCAGGGCAAAACTAGAGCCTGGCTTGAAGGGAGTCATTGAAAAAAAAGTGTATACGCACTCAAGATGGCCTGTTCGTATTAGATGTAACTAACATCGTCCTGGGAACATTCAAAACATTATTATCATACCACACACATGCCACTGCTCCACATGTCTCTCGTACTCTTGTCTCACCTGTGCTCTTCTGTGCTAGTGCTCCATATTGCAGGGAGATCTCTGAGACTACAGTGGGTGTCCAGGACCACTATCACAAGGAAACCATGCCTGCTGGAGATGTGTAGGCAGTGTCTAGATCATGCAGTTTACTTTTCCTCAGAAGTCTCTACCATCTTGGTTAGCTTTGAAAGCAAAAGCATCAGCTTTGTAATCGTTGTACTTCTACTGTGCTTCCATTGGGCTTCCAGTTTGACCAGCAAGATGACAACTTCTCATTTAACTTTTAGAGTTAAGATTTTGTAAATTTACTTTGGCTGAATTATCTCAAACTGAGATTAATGTGGGTGAAACTGATTTGAAGAAAGCAAAGTAGACTTTGGCCCTTGTGCCTTAGAGAAGGTATTCTGCTTATGGGAAGATAGGACTTGTGTTTCAGAACTATAGTCAGTCAGCACGAAATTGTGTAGAGAGTGACCAGCACAAAATGCTTCACAGAAAAAGGAGGGAGACATCTGTGGGGTTATCTGCCACACTGCATGCACGGTAGTTTGCTAAACTCTGGACAATTTAATGCATGGAGTTTAATATCCCTTCCAAAATGTTCGTTGTTGTGTCTTGGGCTATTCTTTTAGTTATTTCTCTTTTTCGGTAGCCTGGTGTAGTCTTCACCTTGTGGCCATCACCTAGCAATGAAATCTACAGCTTGTCTCTAAAATTCTGGAGAAAAATCCACCTTTTAGTTTTGTTTTCATCATGAGACAAAGCGATCCGAATGATCTGATCTATGTTATCTTCATCATTAATTACTTTGATATTGTATCATGTGCCAAAGAAAACAAAGTCAAATGTTAGCAGTTCTTCCCTTAGCAGGACATTTCTTTCTGGGCCTTTAATCATTGTTATCACCCTTCTCAGAGGTCTTATTTACTATAAAATGCACCTCGAGAGAAGTGAACAGTACTGGACACTGCATTTGAACTTTGATTGCAACATTATACAATAGTACTGTGTCTCTCATCTCGTTCATCTCCCTTCACACATCTTCTAGACACTCGCATTCTTCAACCTGCCTAGTAGATTACACGTCAGTTTTTCTTGCCCTCAGTTAATTCCTAGAAATAAATAAAAGGCAGCAGAACAGGCTAACTTCATAAATCTTTATCTAATACTAGCAAGCCATTAGACCCATGTGTAAATACTCCATCTGTTCCCAAAGAAACCACAGCATTTTCTACATTGTGTCAGCATCTACTGTAATATTTCCACTCTTGGAGATTTCTTGAGTTTTCTCCAAAGATCCCATATGTCTGCTTCTTCCTTTCTCTCCCCAAAGAAAAGCAAAGAAAATATGCAACATGCACAGAAAAATGAGAATGGCAGCAGTCCCTACAGGAAACTGTATCCCCTTCATCATCAGTTGAAATTGACCTATTTTAGGAAAGAGGTCTAAAATCAGAGCAGACTACTAACGGCTCAATAATAAGCAAGGACAGTATAGAAGCTTCCAGCACTGTTCCTTGTTGTACCTTTCTCTTTTTCAAGCAACTGTTTCCTCCTAGCAATCTGGCACATAAATATCTGTGACCTAGATTTCAGTTTATATTTCACCTGGTTAATGTGTGGAAACTCCAGGGAACTTAAGGGGGACCAGCATAACCATTTCTTGCAGACTTGGCTCAAGCAAAATTCACCTTGAAGTCCTTGTGTGCTTTGCCTCAGCGGAGACTGTACGGCTCACAAATATTACTCTGATGCTCTGACTGTTGCTAATATGATTATGTGCTAAAGAGTTTAATTGTCAATTGTCTAGTTGGCTAGGAAGGAAAAAGGGAGAGGGGTGTGTGTGGGGGAGAAACACATTTGAAACATATTTGATAATGCCGACTGGCTTTGCTTTGTTTGGAGCTGGTCAGGCAGAACGGTGGCACTGTGCAGCTAATCAGCGGCTCCTCCTCCAGAGAACAGCCAGCTCCCTTCACGCTTGGCACACATGCAGCCCAGCTGAATACCCTTGTGTTTGCTTCTTCTCTTGGCAGAAGTGAAAGAGTATGAGCCCCCCTTTGGTTCTAAAGTGCGAGAACATCCCTGCGTGGAAAGCATGAAGGACAATGTCCTAAGAGACAGAGGGCGACCTGAGATCCCCAGCTCCTGGCTCAACCATCAGGTAAGAGCACTGCAGAACCCATCTAGCTGCTGCCCAAAGCCTGAGCGTTAACTCTGTGTCCTGCTCAGCAAGAGAGGCCTCTCTTTTTGCACTCGTTGCTCTGTCACATAGTGACACTGGTGCTGTCCATAGTTCAGACACCACAGTGCTCTGCACCATGCCTGCTCCCAGATCCCCATGGATTTCTGCTGCCCACCAGTGTAATTTGAAAGTGACCAAATTAAAACAAAAAATAATAGAAACCTGAGACCCCACAGTCATCCAGACAGCCACAGAATAATTAGGGCCTTAAAGTACACTGTGTGCAGGCTCTGAAAGGTCAAAGAGAGCAGCTTTGCACACGGGTTCCATCAGCAGAGAAAACAAATCTCAGCACTTTACCACAGAGAAAAGTAATACTGGCATCCCAGCTGTTGACAGGTTTAGGAAAATAGGAAGTGAGTCGTCAGCAACTCGGTTTGTTTTTATTCAGGGCAGTGTAGTGACAGTCATTGGCATGTTGGGAAGCACTCTGTCAGCTTTCTCTGTTCTTACACATCATGGTGGCACTTCCCAGGCGACAGATGCAGCCCAATTTCTCAGTAGCTGAAGCTGAATGGAAAAGAGCCAAAGGCATGCATTCCTTAACTTTTGCTCTGAGTGGTTTTATCAGACGAGATAAAATGAGAAACATATCAGAGAAGTGAGGCTTGGTCATTCCACCTATCAGTGAAATATGTTGAGTGGTCTTTATGGACAAAAGGAAAGTATCACAAACATTTATAAAAGCCCAGGCAACCAAGACCAGCTGGTATTTCCATAAGGAGCCTTTTTTTTTCATTCTAGTTGAAATGTTAGAATTATAGTCAAACCTTTAATTAGGAAAGTCCATGTGAGTGGCTGTAATCAGTCAGTCCTCCAACCAGGAGCAACACATCTGCTGCTTGATGACTGCGACAGCGTGCATGCCGTTCCTGGACCTGTCATCTGCAATGAGCAGGACTATTGAGGAGCGATGCTCTCACTGGGGAGGAGAGCTGTGTTTTGAGGGACATCTGAAGAACTGATATTGCCAGTACTGAAAGGCCTTTGAAATTTCTAGGATCTATAGCTACAGCTATCTTCTAACCGATCTGTTGAACTGGGAAGGTGAGGTTACATTGATGCTCATCTGTATAGAGTAGAAGACTGCAATTTTTTTTTTTAAGTTATGTATGAACAGGTAGAAGTCATCAGGAGTTGACTACAGCTGTTTGTTTTCCCCAGAGGCAAAAGGACGTCCAACCCAGTAGTGAACATGTGAGACTTTAGAAGAGCCCAGTTAACAAAGCAGGAAAGAATCCTGAGCCAGGTCATTGGGGAGCAAAAAAAAAAGTTGAAGAAAATGCTTAAAATTAGGAGCAGTGTGAGAACATTTCTGAGAATATTCCAAAGTCATGGTCTTAACGTGTCAAAAAAAAATAAAGAGAACCGATTAGGGAGATAGAAGAACAACAGGAAGATCTGTAGTCAGTAGACTTGAGGCGAGTAAGTTTGCTCCAATGCAAAAGGAAATCTTAGTATCAATCCATCACTTATTGTGCTGTTTATGCTAAGGCAAAGGCAGAAGTTGTCGGCAAATATTTCTGTTCTGCATTTGGGAAGAGTCAGATGACATACATGCAGTAGAAGATGGCAAAGGCACCGATGAAGCAGAAGTCATCGACGCTTAGAGCAGGCCATGGGTAACGTTGAGTGGCCCAGAGACCTGTGTGCATTCAGGGCTGAACTCCTTCAGGCATCACACGGCATGGCAGTAGGAGCAGCAACGTGGCTGGTCGTGCCTTGTTGAGGGAGCACCAGCAGCTCCTTGTGTGTGTTAGGCTCAGGGTCCTAGCAGTGCTGGGGGCAGTTGGTGCTACCCGCATTGCCCAGCACAGGACGTCCTGCCAGCTGGGATGTGCTGCCTGCGTTTGTGTGTAACTGGAGTGGGCACAGCTGGCTCCAGCAGGGCTCAATTAGGAGTCTAAGGCAGGAAGTGAATGCCTGATAACACCCTCCCAGGACATTTAGTGAAGGTGGATTTAATTCCCTTTGTCTGAATCCCTTCAGCGTTTCACGTTGCGCTATCTACAACTCAGTGACGCATGGGCTTCAGCAGGGCTGTGACAGTTTGCAGCAGCTGAGGATCTGCTTTGAACTCCACTGAAGTTGCTTTTACTGTAATAGCTCTTCCATATTCATTTCCTTCCTCTGCAGTCGTGTTTTCGTAATGAACTCATTATTCATCGTGATAAAATTCTGGAATGGATTTACATATTACATTTTTTTCCCCTTAATGAGATTTGTTGCACTATTGATTTCAAGTTAATGTTTAATATTTAATTTAATTTACTGCTTGTAATTTCAATGTCATCAGAAAACTAATGTTATTTGTGTACAGACAGTAACGTTCTGCTATTAACGTTGACATCAGTCAACATCACAATTAGGTAAATTATGCAATTAATGTAGTGTTGTGAAATGTTATTTTTTTAAATAAGAAGTTTAAGATAAATCCCGCTTAATGGGCTTCTAGTGTCGTAAAGCAAAGCACACAATTTCCTGGCAAATACCTCATGTTTACAAAATGCATTACGAAGATGCAACTGTTTTTTTGCTCCTGTAAACATGTGCATCAGCATTGAAATGAAGGTTAAATAGTTACATCTGTGAGTGACATGTGTTTAAGTGTTTGTGGGACTGCGGCCCATATTTGCACACAGTTTTAGTTTGTCTGTGGAGAATTCATAAAGGCTGATGTCAGGCTTGATATTGCTGGCAATCAGAATTCTGTTAAAAAAAAAAAAACAAAAAAAACAACAACACAAATAGGATTCAGCCATGCGGAGGGATGGGTTGAGTGGGAAGTTGTTATTCAGCTGTTCTGATTGTATTTATTAGACCAAAAACTACTTGATTCTACTGGTCCAAACCAAAAAGTGGAGGTTTGGAGGAGGGAGGGTAGCGAGGCTGGGGAATAGGTTGCCCAGAGATGTGGTTGATTCCTTGTCCCTGGAGAGTTTCAAGGCTGGGTCAAGCCCTGAGCAACCTGATCTAGCTGTGCACGTCCCTGTTCATTGCAGGGGAGCTGGACTGCATGGCCTTTAAAGGTCCTTTTCAATTCCAAGGATTCTGGGATTCTGTGTCTAGAAATGGCATTACCGGCCATTGGAGCCAGTGGACGTAAGGTTGTAGGGTTTCTTTAAAAAGAAAGCATACCATGTCCCCATTTCAATGACAGCAGAGCCTGCTGAGCACCTCTGGGACCAGTTCTGTCACCGCAGGCACACCAACGGTCCTCTAGGCTTCAGAGAACACCCCAGCCGGCTCTTATGAGCACGTACCGGTGGTGGCTCAGTGGCTGTCCCCACCACAGTGCTCTCTCTGTGCTCTCCACAGGGCATCCAGATGGTGTGTGAGACCCTTATTGAGTGCTGGGACCACGACCCCGAGGCTCGGCTCACGGCGCAGTGCGTGGCGGAGCGCTTCAGTGAGTTCAAGCACCACGACAAGCTCTCAGGGAGAAGCTGTTCAGAGGAGAAGATCCCCGAGGACGGCTCCGTGACCACCGCCAAGTAGCATGCACCCAAGAGCTCCGAAATGGAGGGAGGTTACTCCTAAGCACGTTACCTTGGCAGAGGAAGAAGTCACGATCGGTGCCTTGACTTGCTTCCTGGAGGACTGAGGCTGTCACTACTCCCTTTGAGCTGTGGCTCTGGGCAGGGAGATGTATGCATGGGAGTTAAAAGCCAGGGAGCGGGTGTTGTACTCCAGCATTGGCAGCCGGCGTCATGTCATAGGAGGAGCTAAGTCTGTTAGCACTTCCTCAGGAAATGAGATTTGAGAATAGCCAATAACATTATGCACTTTAATAATGCCTGTATATAACTATGAAATTGCTATTTTTATATATATATACATATATATTAAAAATGTCTGTGTATGTATATATCTATCTATATATCTGTAAACAGCCATGATCTGAAGAATAGAGTTTAAAAAATGCTCGCAGGAAATTACCTGTGCATTAGAGATCCCTCCCCCATTGGGAAAGCACCCGGGGAGACTGGTGTATCAGGACACTAGCGATTGTGCACTAAGCACTCTGCCAAAAAGATAGGAACAAGGAGCAATAAGAAGATGGCTTTGAAGCATGTGCTGCACACACCCAGCTGTGGCCCAGGAGACGACAGTTGCAGCAGCAGTCTCACAGCAAGGAGACAGATCTGGCTTTGCAGTTGTAACTACACGCTCCTGCCTGGAGTGTTTTTGGGAAGATTCGGGGATGTCTTTGCCCTCTTGCCTTAACCCCAAGGTCCTCACAGCCTCCCATAGCGGGAGGGAGCGTGAGGAGGTTTGGTCCCACCACCTGTGTTTCCATGCAGAGGTCATTAGTGTTACGTCTTTATTGCTCTGAGTTCATGCTGCTTGCAAGCAGGTTGCAAAATAGCAGCGGGATGAGATTTTTCCCCTCCTCCCTTCCTGACCCTCAAACCGCACCAAGTCCAGCAGTAATCCAAGCAGATGTTTTATATTTGCTCTGCATTCTGAACGCAGACTGTACTTATTTTTTCCCTTTTCCTTTTACCTTAATTGCGTTGCTGTGAGAACAAATAACTTTTTCCTAGTACAGCATATCTGATTGCTTGACATACCACAGCCTGACTGTTCCATGCTTTCTAGAGAAAAGCAAGAGACAACACCCAGTGCCTTTGCTTTCACACAAGGACCTTAGAAATGAGGGGAGGCTCCATGGCATCAGGTTCATGGCATATCCTGCCCTCTTCTCTGCAGGGTAGTGGGAATTTAATTATCCAGACAGTTGACATATGTAAACTTATACAAATGACAGCAGTGCGTTTTATAATTCTGACGATTCTGTCTTCAGGAGTTCTGCAGTGATGTTTCACTTTTTTCTTCCCTTGGCATGTGTTTGGGAACTGTTGAACCACTGATTGATCACCTGAGGCGAGCACTGAGTCAGCCATGGAGCACAGGTGAAGGCAATTCAGCTGTGTGATGGAAGGGGTGGAGCCTGGCTGCACCTCTCCTAGACCCCATTTAAGGGCTGACTGGCACTGGGGAAGGGTCTGTTTCTGGAGATCACTTTCTTCGGAGTTTTTTCTGTGGGCCTAGGACACGGGTGAGCATTTTCATTTATTTTTTATTATCCCCTTTCCACTGTGATAGTCCTTCTAGTTACATGACCTGTAAAATGCTAACTGTGCCACTCTGCTAATTGTACTTGTTGATTGTGCAGCATGTAAGCGGGCTGTGGAAACCAGGAGTTGAGCACAGAGCAGTCCCACACAGGTCTGCATCAGGTGCAATTCACTGAACATCTTTGACAGATAAACTTTGATATTAATCTAGAAGATATTGCCAAGTTAGTAGGAATCATGCTTGTTTAAATAGGAACTCAGACTGACTTGCAGTGAGAAGTACTTCGTTTCAAATGGTATTGTATCCCCGTTCATTTTGTTTTAACTGAACTGCTCAGAAATATTTAAACAAAGAGCAAAATCTTAGCAACTACAACAGGATTCAGAGGACACTGTGTCAAATTGAAGGGGAGAGGGATTTGCATTTCCAAAAAAAAAAAAAAAAGGCAAGGAAAATGATGCAGCTGCAGGGCCACTGCCATCTAGCGAGGCGCAGCTGTGTGCTGCACAGCAGGACTGGGGGGCTGAGGGCAGCCATGGCTGCTTTCTCTCCCTCCACCCAACTGAAGGTCAGGGAATGGCATCCAGAGGTTACTGACAGTACTGACACATTTATTTCCTTTTTTTTGTTGTTGTCGTTGTTTTTTCTTGGTTTTATTTTGTTTGTTGTTTTGTTGGTTTTTTTTACTACAACATGTAAAGGGATTTTTTTTTAATTCTCTTAAGGAATACTTCACCTGTACATCATGTATGAAATAGGGATGTGAATGTTATATACTCTTCTTTATCAAATGTTTCAAGCACTTAACTTGCTTTGTAAACAGTGTTTGGGGGCTTTTTGTTCTTATTGTTTTATATAAATCAAATGTTTATTGCTGCAAATAAAATAACACCGACTCAAATTTGTCTTTCATCTCTGGAGCATCTAGAATAAGGAGGGGGCTCTTGCAAAAATGATCCCTGTCCTAAAAGGATTTATTCTCATCCCTTTTCACTAGGTGCCCAGATGTCCAGCTGCCACTGCACGTGTCCCTCTGTGCTGCTGTCTTGTCTGGAGAGCATCAGCAAAGGGATGCAGTGGCCGTTCCTTCACCATGTAAAACCTTCTCTGGTCACGGGCAGGGGACAGAAGCAGGCTCACAGCTGACTCTCTCCTATTGTCAACTCAATCGCAAGCGCAGGTAAGGTCTTTGTTAATCCTCTGCTCTTTTGGGTCTGGTATTAAAGTGAGCTAGAAGACAGTGCACTAAATCTGTGTCACAGGGAAGAGTGTGATTAATGTGTTTGTGCCACGCGGCTTCAGTGCTGTGCTCGGTGTTCAGCCAGCCACCCCTCCTGTGCAGGGCATGCACAGAGCACGAGAAACCAATGAATATGAGAAGAGCTGCCAGCCCAAAAAACGTTTTTGCTGAGAGCTGCGGCTGTTCAGCTTGGAGAAAAGAAGGCTGTGGGAAGACCTGAGAGTGCGTTTCAGTATCTGAAGGGGGACTGTAAGGAAGGAGATGGACACTTTAGGAGGGTCTGTTGTGACAGGACAAGGGGAAAATGAGTTTAACTGAAAGAGAGGAGACTTAGATTGGATATAAGGAAGAAGTTTTTCACTGGCACAGGTTGCTCAGAGATGTGGTGGGTGCCCCATCCTTGGACGCACTCAAGATCAGGCTGGACCAGGCTTTGAGCAACCTGCTGTAGCTGTATGCATCCCTTTTCATTGCAGGGGGGTTGGGCTAGATGGCCTTTAAGAGCCCCTTCCAACTCAAACGACTGCATGCTTGTATGATTTATTTCCAGCAGAGTCCTGCCTAGTGTCAGAGTGCCCTGCCCTAGTCGTGGCTCTGTCCTACTCACCCCTCACCACTGCTGGCCGTGCACTGTGCAAAGATCTTCAAGCCCTGACATCCTGTTTAGGTTGGATTGAAGTCAATGTCTTTCTGGTGTGACAGGGCAAACGAGTGGTGCAGAAACAAATACAAATTGTATTAAAAAATGTAGCAGGCAAACTACAGAGGCCTTTCAGAGTATTCAACTACAGAGTTGAATACACAACATCTGTGAAATAAAGTATGCTACCTATCATTGATTTTTCATTTTTTTGGTTAAGTCATTTGCCCTCTTTCTCATCCTCAATAGGGTATTCAATACTTTTCTCTGAGCAGCTCTTAAAAGGTATAGTCATAGAATCAATCACAGAGTCATATAATAATCACAAAGTCATAGAATCAATCCCAGTCACAGAATAGCTTGAGTTGGAAGGGACCTTAAAAATCATTCAGTTCAACCCCTATGTATGTCAGTCAGAATATTAGCACCAGGGCACACAAAAGCTGTTCTTGGGGTTGCTACTGACCCGTGCAGTGGTCTAAGCAGGGATGGCCAGAATCCTAGCACAGGCTGGCTCTGTGTTACCAGTTTGCACAACTCCCAGTGCAGTAAGGATTTCACTCCTGCTTGACAAGCTCCAGCTGTTAATGGAAAAGCCACAAACAGTGAAAAAAATCATGCGCCAGCTCCTGAGGGGAAAAAAACAACAAGAGAGATATTAAAGTATCATTATTCTGAATGCTCCTGGAAACAAACTGGGCTGTGTGTCCAGCACCTGCAACACTGTCCTCTTGTCACGCCAGCTGTGCTGGGACCCAAAGACTCCCTTTGCTTTCAGAGGAACACTGATTAATTTATTTCCTGAGCCCTAACTCCTTCTCTTGCTTTTTTGCTTTTTTTGCTTTTTTTTTTAATGTTGCGGCTGTTACAAAACACTGCCTATGGCAATTTTTCCCTCCAGCCACAAAGAAGGTGGAACAAAACCTGCTCCAATCCTTCTGCCTGTGGCTCCTGAATGCCGTTTGGCTGCATTCATACCACCTTTATTACTTGGAAAAAATTCCTGCAAGTGGGCTCACGCCATGTGAGTGGTCAGAAGGCTCTGGTGGTTGCCAAAAACAGCATAGGTGTAAGTGTTGCACCTTGCTGCAGGATGCTGGTATGCTTTCAGGCGTGTGTGTGTTCCTGGGAGCACCCAGGGCCCACCAGGCGCCTTTGTCCTGAGCCTGTGGTGTGCCCTACTGGCTGCCCAGAGCCCATTGGCCCACAGTGCCCATACCAGCTCTCACCCAGCTGTGACCTCAGGCAGCTGAGAGGCCGTAATCCTGGGCAGGAAGCTGAGGACAAAGCCAGCGGTTTGTTGAAACACAGACAAATTGAGAGGCTCCTGGGAGGGCCGAGCCCAGGAAATAGATTTAAATCTGTTGAATAATGAATGCTCTGAGCACCGTCTAATCACTTCATGAAGAGGCAAAGGCAAAAGTCAGCTCATAAATTATCTGCTGCGGAGTATTTTCTTAGTTTTAATGAGGACAAACCAATCTCTTTGGACAGTTGCATTTATGTAGCTGAAGTCTTGAAAAAATAAAGTGGTCAACTGATTGAGGAGGCAGGGTTGAACACAATGCTCCTCAGACAAGCTGACATTGAAACCCACAGAGACAAGATCCCTGATACTTCTGCCCAGCTTCAGCCTTCCCTTGGCTATGTTAGAATGATAGAATGGCCTGGGTTGAAAAGGACCGCAATGATCATCTAGTTTTAACCCCCCCTGCTACGTGCAGAGTCACCAATCACCAGAGCGGGCTGCCCAGAGCCACATCCAGCCTGGCCTTGAATGCCTCCAGGGATGGGGCACCCACAGCAGTCTTGGGAGGGGCTGATAGCACTTCCCTTTTTTCTCCTATATTTCAGAAAAGTTTTCATCTGGAAGACGAATAAACATCTGTCTGTCTGCCTGTATGCCCAGTCTTTATATGCTGATTTTCCTGTTAAATGTATGTAAATACATAGAGGGCTTCTGCAACAATCCATCCAGGTTGCTCTGACCATCCTGTACAATAAGATCATAAATACATCAATATTAAATTGGAATGCATGCACTGGCAGTGTATGAAGAATGCCTCCCAGACTTGTAGATTCAGCAATTGCTGTGAAAATACGAGGCCTGCTCAGGGCTGCTTCTGAATCATTGTGACGATCACTTGAAAATCACTTAAAGTGAAACACCATTTTTAAAAGAGCAAAGCCTTTTGTACAGGGTGTATGAATGCCTGCAGTGACAAAAAACAGCGTTTTGTCTTTCTTTGCTCTAACCACACTGAACTGAAGGCTCCCAGGGAAAGGCTCCAGTGAGAAAACCCAGAGGGCAGCTGCTCCCAGCCCCAGGAGGAAGCACTGTGTGTGATGCTGCTCCAAAGTGCTGCCCCAAGGAGACTACATGGGTTCACACAGCACATCCCATCCATAGCAAAAGCACTCAGCCAGTGGAAGCTGCAGCTGCTGACACTTGCAGCCAGTGCTGTTTCTGAAGGGTGAGCTTTTCTCCTTGGGTGAAATTGAATCCAGGGAGCGATCCTCTTCAACCAAGGTGCTTGCTGTCCATTATCCGTACGGTGTTCTTGGAGGCAGAAAGAGGGCAGCTATAGCTTTAATTAGCTAAAAGGTTTTGAGCAGGATATAAATTTCATCCCAGGACTTTTAATTTTTCAGCTGTTAAGCTTTGCACTCTTTCACACAGACATCCTCATGCTTTTGCTGCAGCTAACCCCCCCATGATGACCAGAAGCAGCATTTCCTCCATACTCTGATGTCACAAACACTTCAGCATTGTCAGCGAGGAGGAGTCTGCAAAAGCGTCATGCAGACTAACATCTTCCTTGGGATGCTCCAAATGGCACAGCAAAATGGTCCCGTGTTTCAAGGCATTAACAGCATCTCCCACCAAGAATGGGGCATTCAGCCCTGAGAATGGGGCATTCAGCCCAAGTACTTCTAAAGAGGATATATGTCTTATTAAATAAGGAAAAGAAGAAGGCAAGTTCATTTCACTGCAGGAGTGTTACCATTTGTGAATGCACATGTCTTGAATTCACTTATGGAATGGTAGCTTTTAAGAAACCAATCTTAACAAATCCAAAGGAAATGGAAAAAAAGAATTTAAATTAACTTACTTCATCCATTTATAAATTGTTTAGGTTAATCACAGAAAACCAAACAGGATTCGGCTGTACTTAAACACAGCCTTTGCTCTTGTATAAACTGTTTATTATATCCATGACACACAACCAGACGAAATTCATTCCTGAGCTGGGGAACAGTCTAATTTGGTTTTATTAGGTTTAGAGAAAAACATTTTGGCAGAAGATCCACTTTAGAATGTAAAATATTTTCATATTTTTCTCAAGAAAATTCTCCCGAAAGAGATGCAGCAGTTTCTCTCCTACATCTCTGGATAAGTAAGTTGGTCCAAAGAACAAAACAGGGCAAGCTTTTCCCTGGGCTTTTCTCTCCATGACTGCAAAGGAAACCACCAGAGAACCAGGGCTCTTAAAACAGGCACAGAAAGGACCTCTTTTTTTAATGTCTCATGCAAGTATCTGAGGAAATAGCCCTCCTACAATGTCATCTAATCAAGCTAAGTACTCCAGGTTGGGAGCAGTGGCCTTCTCTTCCAGTTCTGGTGTTTTAGGAAGGAACACATAAAAACATCATAGAAAAGGAAAGCCTTCAGGGAGAACTTCACAATGGCAAGGAAACGTGGCTGAAAAAAGCCAAAATGTTTGGTACTTGTGTGGTTGTACCAGCCTTCTTTCAAGGCTGGATCCGTTCATGGACAACCTGATTGAGCTGTGCATGTCCCTGTTCATTGCAGGGGAGTTGGACTAGATGGCCTTTGAAGGTCTCTTCCAACTCTAAGGATCTATGACTCTTTCAAGCTACAATCAGGCAATTAAAGACCATTTTTTAAAGCTAGCACAGGGTAACAGCAGCATAGAAAATTTTACATGTATTGTATTGTTTCAAACCTGCTGAGCTGGGTGAAATTCCTCCTCCTCCTGGTTTCCAAAAAGGATTAGCA